TCTTGGTAGGGCCAGACACATAGTGGGGAAACAGAGTAAAGGAACATTGTGGCTAACATTCATAACGGTGAGTAAATCTGCTTCCCTGCTATAGGTGGGGAAATAAGAACACCCAGCATCTGACCTTGACTGACAGAAAGGTTGTGTAGTCTGGTGCAAGTCATTTTACTTCTCACCTCAATAGTAACATTCGGAAAATCTACCTGTTCAAAGGGACTGGATGGTCCTGAGGACTAATATCGAAATCTGACCATCTAACCCTTCATGTAAATGCTACATTTGTGTGTGTTTTGCATTTTAATAGTGACGTTTCACATGAAAACAATTATGCAGGAAACAGACAACTGGCTCTCCCAAATTTAGTCCTCAATAAAGTCATCTAACCAGGTTTCTTTTACTGGACTTCACCAAAACCAACTCTCTTCTTGGGTGATGAGAAAGGGGTGGCAGTCACTAAACACATAAGAATATATGAGATGGTTACAGAATTACAGAAAATTGGGCTGGAAGGAACCTCAAGAAGTTATCAAGTCTAAGCCCTGGCTCAAGAAAGGATTACCTCCTCTAACCATTCCAGATGAGATATCCTGGGGAACATGCTAAAGATAAATCAGTGTGTGAAGTGGGCAATAGACTTTTATACTCAAGATGGTACTCATGTTACATGATCTATTATATACTGCAGCATTAAACATGTAGCCAAGAGTGTTATAACTCACCTTTGACACTAATCAGGTCAGGCTGGATGAGTGGAATAGGGTGAATGCCTGAGTCTCATGGCCTCATAATCCTTTCTTTAGCAGGGGCTTGGACTTGATAACTTCTTGAGGTTCCTTCCGCCCCTGCCCAAAAATAAATATAGGGGCAATGGTGGTGGCCTTAGGGTTCTTGGGGCCCAGGGCAAGAGAGTCATTTGGGGCCCTTTAGAGGCTTAATTTTGATGAGCTATAAGCAAGTCAGACATTTTCAATTTCAATTGCTCTATCCATGAAATTGCAATGAAAGTATCTTAATACAATACTGATAATACAAATATTGAGTGTAATTAATAGGGGTGCACTGATGGAGATTTTGGAGACCAATACCAATAGCCAAATTTTAAGGAGGCCTATCGGCCGATACTGATCCAATTTCTGATAGCAGCGTGGCAGCATGGAGAGTTGTGTGCAGCTGATAAGTCTGGTGTGGTGGAAGGGGAAGAGGAAGGGGGATGGACGAGAGGGGGAGGAAAGGGGTGTGGCGAGGGCAGATCAAGGCTCCTGTGGTGAGGCAGGAGCGGAGCTGGGGCTGGGGCAAAAGCTGCCCAGCTGGAGCTGAGTGGGCGCAGGATGGAGCTGCAGCTTGTCCGGGGGACATGGGGAGAGGGGAGGGTGGCTTCCACCACTGTGCACCACTGTTGTGGGAGCCACTGGTCTGGTGGCTCATCCAGCACTTGCCTGCTCATTCGGCGGCTCCTACCACTAATCTGGGAGGGCATGGAGATGAGGGTGTGCCCCCAGATCTGCACGGGGCCTGGGCTGTACCAGGCTCTTCCCAGTGGGGTGGGGCTGGGCTTGGGGCGGGAGGTGGAGGTGCCAGGACTGGGGGAATGTGGGGGCTATGGTAAATTTTGGGGTGGCTGTAGCTCCCCCCATCCCAGTTCTGCTACCACCTGCCCCAAGCACAGCCCTGCTCCACTGGGAAGAGTTTGGCATAGTCCCGGCCTCACGCAGATCCAGGGGCATATGCTCCCCCATGCCCTTCTGGACAAGAAGTGGGAACAGCAGCAGGAGCCACCAGACCAGCAACTCCCTCATGAGCAGCACGCAGCAGCAGAAGCCCCCCCGCACTGAGCTGTGGATCCATTCCATGCTCGCCTCATCCCAGCTGGGCAGCGCTTGCCCCAGCCCCTGCCCCTGCCCCAGTTCCACTCCTCCCTCAGTGTGGGGGCCTTGATCTGCCTCCCCCATACCCTTTCCCTTCCCCTCCCCTCTCCCCTTCCACCACACCAGACTTACCAGCTGCACGCAGCTCTTCAAGCTGCCCAGCTGTGCTCCTCACTGCCTACATGCTGCCCTGTGGCTGCGCACATGCATGGGCCTTTTATTGGCCAAATTATCAGCCATATCAGGACGATTTCCAATACTGACAATTTTCTTTATATCGGTGCCGAGCCAATATTGGACCGATGTATCGAAGCACCTCTAGTCATTCATCTTAATTTTTATGAAGTGTGGGGTCCTGGGCAGTCGCCTGGTTTGCCCTCCCTGAAGGCTGCTACTGGGGGCAAGATTTCACCCTAATCATAGGGGGGAAAAAAGTACCATATAAAAAAAAATTGAACACTAGTCCCAGAATGGAGGTTTTACTGGGAAGCTACTAAGGGCTTACTTGCTCTTAAGCAAATTAGACAGCTGGGGGCATGGTGGGAGGGGAAGAGGTAAGTACAGGTCAGGCAGCAGCTCTGGCCCTGGCTGAGTCACAGCAGCTGCCTGTCCATCCCCCCCACCCCCACCACCTTGCACTCAAAACTCAGACAGGGGGCTTCCCTTCCCATCTCCCCCATGATAGATGTGAGGGAAAAAACTCACTTGGGATTTGGGTAAATATGGCACTCTCCCACACAATAGAAGAACTATGGGTCATAAAATGAAACTAGTAGGTAGTAAGTTTAAAACTAACAAAAGGAAGTTCTTTTTTTACACAGTGTGTAATTAAAGTGGGGAACTTATTGCCACAAGATGTGGAAGCTGACAGTTTAACCAGATTCAAAAAGGAATTGGACAAATTATTGGAGAAAATGCATCAGTAGCTATTGAACATTGGAGTTAGAGGTACAGCCTCTGAATCCAAACTTCCTAGAACTTAAATGTTGGAGGCTGAAAGTGGGAGAGGCACAAAGGAAAAACACTGGTCATAACCTGTTCACTCTCACTTTTAGCATCCATTCTCTGCTGCCATGTGACAGGATACTGGGCAAGATGGACAGTACCTAGCAGTTTTTGGCTAGGAACAGAAATTACACATAAATTGGTATACGTGATCAGAAACTGGTTCAAATCTGTAACACAACAGAAGTTCAGTGCATGTAAACTGCTTTAAAATGGCCAAAACAGGTTTAAAATAAACCTGGATGGATGTAGTATCAGACTTCACTGATTTAAGTTAAATCAGTTTATTGAACTTCTGTCCCAGATCTCCTCTAGATTCAAGCTAACTCACAGTTCCCCAGCATCTCAGGATGCTTTGCACCTC